AAGCAGAGGTGGGCGGGGTCCCAGCTAGCTCCCCTGGCAGAGCAGGGCCCAGGAACAGGGGGGCGTGGCCCTCGCCCATGCCCTACAAGGTGCCCGGATGGAGCCGGGCGAGGTGGGTGAGGCAAGTAGAGGTGGGCGGGGTCCCAGCTAGCTTCCCTGGCAGAGCAGGGCCCAGGAACAGGGGGGCGTGGCCCTCTCCCATGCCCTATAAGGGAGTGGAGTGGGGCAGGGCGGGCATTCAGCTGGAAATTCTCCAATGGCTACATCTTGTCTAACCTCTACAAGGTACCCAGGTGGGGTACCTGGGTGGGGGTGAGGGCAGGGCGGGAGAAGACAGGACTAGGCTCAATTGGGAGTCCCCCACAACTATGACTCCCTCATGCTCTCCAAGGATGGGTGGGGCTCAGCCCAGGGATGGGGAGCAGCACAGGCTCGGCTCAGCCTGGGGTCCACCTTCAGGCTAAGGTCAGGATTCACTTAAAGTTAGGATTTGGTCCCACTGGGGCTCAGCATTGGTTGGGGTTCAGCTGGGGTTGAGTTTCAGGCCTGGGACTGAAGATCGGACTCATTCAGGGTTGGACCTCAGTCACCATTAGGAATTGATTTGGGACTGATAGGATCCAGGCTCAGGCAAGGTTAGGGTCCACATGGGGTCCAGGGCTCAGCATGGGGCTGGGGCTCAGCCTGGAGTCAGGGCTCAGTATTGGGAGTCAGCTGGGGTTGGAGTTTAGCCTTAGATTGAGGTTCGTCGGGGTTCAGCAGGGGGTTGGGGCTCATCCTGGAGTCCGGGGCTCCATCAAGTGGGGCTTACTTGAGGTTGAGGCTCAGTCTCTGGTAGGAGCTTATCCTGGGGTCGAGGTTCAGCCAGGGGTTGGGGCCTCTCAGGGGGCTGGGCCTGGAGCCTTGTCGTCCAAGCTGAGCCGCCTGCTCCCCCGCCGTCCCCCTACCCCACCCCGCAGATCCAGTACAACGGGCTCACGCTGGATGTGGACGGACGGACCACCAAGAAGCTCATCACACACCTCAAGCCCCACACCTTCTATAACTTCGTCCTGACGAACCGCGGTAGCAGCCTGGGCGGCCTGCAGCAGACCGTCACCGCCTGGACTGCCTTCAACCTGCTCAGTGCCAAGCCCAGCGTGGCCCCCAAGCCCGACGCGGACGGCTTCATCATGGTGTACCTGCCCGATGGCCAGAGCCCCGTGCCCATCCAGTACGCTCACCCCACCCAGAAGGAAACCCGCCCACAGCCCTGTGGTGCCAACTCCCACGATCCAGGAGGACAGGGTAGTGCTGCCCCTGTGGGATTTCATGGCTGTCCATTTTTACAGCGCAGGACAGCCTCATTTTGCTCCCTTAGAGCTGCCGTTGGGTTTGAACCACTGGCCTCTCTGTTAGCAACCCAACGCCTAATCTACAGCGCCACCAGGGCTCCCTGTAGGAACTCGGTGTGCCTCTGAAACAGGGACCACAACAGCCTCAGCTCCCAGCCTATCAGTGCATCCCAACACTCCCATGTACCTGGCCTTGTACTGGACATTGCTGGACCCCCTGACCGGATTTTGTTCTGGAAGAGACAGACAGTGGGAGGCAGCAGAACCTGGAGTCCCCATTGGGGAGGAGAGGGCTCTGCCTAGGAGATAGAAAAGTATCGAGGGCTATAAGAAAGCATGGGCATTGGAGCTGGGGTGCTGAAGGATGTGTAAGAGTCTGGTTAAGTAGAACCACACTTTGTGAGTCTGCAGAGTGGTGTGTGTGTGTGTATGTTGTACTTCATCAAGTGACCCCATACAAAATGATAAATTGTAAATGTCTTTATGAGAGCAGATGGCGAGGTGGGTCTCCCAGGGTGCTGCTGGTGGGTCCAAACCAGTGACCTTTGGGTTAGCAGCAGATCATGCAACCATTGGGCCACCAGGGCTTCTTAGACCAGTGCTAAGAGACCTGAGTCCAGGAGTCGTGGATCAGGCGTTCGGGTTGTTTGTGTCTGGGGCATTGCACGCAGGGAGTGGCCGTCCACGAGAAGGGAAGCCTCAGGAAGCCCCGCCCCCTCAACCCCAGACAGCCTCTCTCTGCGCCGCCCAACACCAGCCCACTCTTACTCGCCCCTCCCTCCCTCCCACCAGGAACTATTTCATTGTCATGGTGCCACTGCGGAAGTTCCGTGGCGGCCAGTTCCTGAGCCCCCAGGGTAGCCCGGAGGAGATGGACCTGGAGGAGGTGAGGCCCGGGGCCCACCCGGTAGCACCCCATCCCAAGCCTCCCCACCCACACCCACCCCTACCCACCGATCCCTGCTGGGTGCTGAGACGCCCACACTTCTGCTCCCGCAGCTCATCCAAGACATCTCGCGGCTTCAGCGGCGCAGCCTGCGGCACTCGCGCCAGCTGGAGGTGCCCCGGCCCTACATTGCTGCCCGCTTCTCCATGCTGCCTCACACCTTCAACCCCGGGGACCAGAAGCAGTATGGCGGCTTCGACAACCGGGTTCTGGAGCCTGGCCATCGCTACGTGCTCTTTGTGCTGGCGGTGCTGCCGAAGAGTGAGCCTGTGAGTCCCTGGGGGTGGCGGGTTCTGCCTGCCTCCCACCCATGAGCAAGGAGAGGGGCGACACCTGCAGGGAGGTTTCTCGGAGGTAGGGGCTCTGGAGCTGGGGCTTTGAGGGTTGAGCAAGAGTTCAACAAGGACAAGGCATCCCAGGCCACCAAAGGAGCAGGTGGCCACGTGGTGAGAGGAGCAGAGTTGTTTGGAGTGGCTGGGCCATGGGTGCCACAGGCATGCAATGACGAGTGTGGAACTTACCCTGAGTGAGGGCTCTCAGGAGCCACAGCTGGGTGTGCAGCGGAGGGAGAGGACCCAGGTCCACCTGGACACTGCAGGTCCTGATGGAGCCTCCCTGCACTCCGCCCCCATTCCTGCAGACGTTCGCAGCCAGCCCCTTCTCAGACCCCTTCCAGCTAGACAACCCGGACCCTCAGCCCATCGTGGATGGCGAGGAGGGGCTCATCTGGGTGATCGGGCCGGTGCTGGCTGTGGTCTTCATCGTCTGCATTGTCATCGCCATCCTGCTCTACAAGAAGTGAGTCCTGCGCCCACAGGCCTGGAGGGCAGCCCGAGGAGGCAGCTTTGGGAAGGCCCCAAGACAGGCCCCTGTGGTGGCACACGGGGGTAAAGAGGCTCGGAGAGGTTCCGCTGTGCCGGCAAAGCCCCACAGCCAGGACAGTTCAAAGAGCCTTGTAGCTTGGCTCTCCCACACCCCTCAACAAGATTGGAGTCTGGGGTGGGGGAACATGGGGGCCTGTGGCTCAGACACAGACTTAGACAGGCCTCCCTGTGGTGGGAGACCAAGCAGAGAGGACCAGCCCCTTTTGTATAGGAGACCAAGGGTCTGAGGGGTTTGGAAAGCCACCCCAGCCAACATGCCCTTACCTCCCCCCCTCTTTCCTCCCCCTGCTTCTCACCTGTGCCTGCTTTCTGGAGCAGCAAACCTGACAGGTAAGAATAGGCCCCGCCCCCTGACAGCCCAGGGCGGGAGGACAAGGGAGGGGGCGGGGGGGAGGCATGGTGCTGGGCCCCTGGGGAAGAGGAGGAGGGTGCCTGGCAGCAGGAACAGGTTGTCTATGTGTGATCCCAGCTACCCAACAAGAGATGTGCATGCACACACAGGTGTGCATAAACATACATAGTCTCAGATACTGTCACACACATTTGTGTGTAGTCCTGCAGACCCAATTACACATACACACATGGTCACAGGCACCAACGGTACATGTCTGTGTGTGTACATGTTCATGCCTGGCCCCATCTAGCCAGTCATGCTGTGCATGCTCACGTGTGAACCCGAATGCCCAGTTATGCACACACATGTTCGGGTGTAGTCCTGAGTACACGTTTGTGTACATGCCTGTGCATGGTCGCTCATACCCAGTGGTAAACGTGCATGCCCACACATGACCCCACACACCTAATGGTACATGTGTGGATCCACGCGTGGACCCACACACCCAGCCATACACAGACACGGTCCCGCTGCTCCACTGTGACTCTCAGCCCTGCCTGCGGTGTCCCCGGGCCCACATGGTACTCACCTGCCTCTCCACCTGCCCCCTCACAGTAAGCGCAAAGACTCGGAGCCTCGCACCAAATGCCTCCTGAACAATGCAGACCTCGCCCCCCACCACCCCAAGGACCCCGTGGAGATGAGGCGCATTAACTTCCAGACCCCAGGTACAGGCTGACCCCCGGCCCCACCGCTGCAGGAGAGGGCGTGGCTCGGAAAGGGTAAAGAAGAAGCTGCTAGAGGCTGACACCTCCACAGAGACCCAAGTGTAGTTCCCTGAAAGCCACACCCTAAACACCTGTCTGCCTGCCCGGCTCGGGGCTCAGGTACTCAGGATGCGGCCAGCCTTTGGGGAAGCTGCGCTTCTCAGCTGCTGTCACCACCTCCCTCGTCTCTTCTGGCCGCTGGCCAGCACTCTGGGCCAGGGACTGGGCATGGGCACGGAGCTTTGTCCTCAGCCATTTTCCAGATGCCCCGAAGACACAGAAGGCCCTGCAGTGCAGCTCACTCCCCGACCCCACCTCACTCTTCACAAGCTCCCTGGCCCGGGAATAGAACCAGGGTCTGAGCCTGGATCATCCTCACCCACAGCAGCCCGCCCCCTCCCCGGGTGGCCCCTGCCAGCTCCTTCCCACCCAACTCGGGTTCTTGTCTTTGACCGAGGGCTGCTGCTCCCAGCTCAGTTCTGCCTGCCGCTTCACTGGCATGCACTCCCAAGGTCTCCCCTCCTGTGTCTGAGCTGGCTGGGACCCATCCCCCGTCCCCCGAGGGACATTCAGTCAATGATGGCCTTCCCTGCATGTCATCCTTCTCCTCCCCTGGCCCCGGGTGGGTTGTCCTCAGCGCCCTGTCCCTCCAAGTGAGAATTCTGTGCTTTTCTGTTTCACCGAGGGTGCCCCTGCACCTCTCCTCCGTCCTGGCTCTGCCTGGGCTCCTGTCCACTGCACCTTCATTTTAAGCATTGTTCCTTGATGGGTTCCCACACTGCCTCTGAGACTCACCCCGGCTTCAGGTGCCAGCCCCGACACACTGACCGTCCCCTCTGCCTCCCATGCCCGGGCTAGCTCGTTCCCTTCCGTTTCCACCCAGACAGGACTCAAGATGTTTGTCTTTAACCGGTGGCTGCTGGCCTCCGGGGAAGCTTGCTGCAGGGCCCATACTCCCTTCCTGGCATCCGAGCT